GTTCGAATCCCGCTCGAGATACTCTTTTTTAGTTTAAAACTATCGTTAGAATTTTTCTTTTTTAATTTATAGACGATAGCGACGTCGTTACTACTCGACTACGACACTATTTAGAATAGTTTTTTCGATATATTAATCTATAAATTATAAATATTACGTAATATATTAATTTAAAAAAATTAAAAATTTTAAAAATTTTAACTAAGTTAAGAAGTAATTCTCGATACGCTAGTTAGCCTATAGCGATCTCTATAGCGATCTCTATAGTGATCCTCTCGTGATCCTCTCGTGATCTACGATACGTTATTTACCCTATAAGTGATCCTATAGTGATTCTCGATCCGGATCGGAGTAGGATCGGAGTAGGATTAGAGTAGGGTTAATATAGTATCGATCCTATATCGATACTAGATTAATCCTTATTAGGCGGGCATATATGTATAGTACCTTCTTAATTATTATTCACATATATAGGTATTAAGCGTCCTATTGATCGTTCTGCTACGTATATATATAGTATCTTCTCGAGCGTCCTATCGAGTACTATGTATCCTGCCGAGCGTCCCTATCGAGCGTCCTGTTAATCTTCCTGCTACGCGTGCACCTCCTCGAACGCACTATCGTACGAACTGTTAAACGTACTATTGAGCGAGCGTGTAGTTGAGCGAGTATTGAGTTAAACGCACTGTTGAACGCACTATTGTACGTACTGTTGAGCGTGCAGTTAGGCGTACAGTTGAGCGTAGACCTTTTCGATTATATAGTATAGTTCTACTAAAGTAGTGCTAGTAAACGTAGAAACCGTATCGAGGCTCCAAACCGTATTCAAGGCTCTCGAGGTTCACGAGGTTTAATACCGTATTAATACCGTATTAAGCCTCGAAATCGATTCTACTACGGTTCGAAACCGGTTCTAATACGGCTCTAAACGTTAATTTTATCACTAATTTAAGCATAAATCGAAACCGGTTTAGAACCGATTTAGATCCGTAGTAGAGCCGTAGTAGAACTAGTTCCACTACGGTTCGAAACCGTATCGGATACTATATCGAAACCGTATTGAAACCGTGTTAATACGGTGTTAATTCTAAGTACTATAGCCTATATAGTATCGCTATCGCCTAGAATTTCAAAAAGAAAAAATTCTAACGGTATATATATGCCCGCCTAGTAAGGATTAATCTAGTATCAATATAGAATCGACGCTATATCGACCCTACTCCAATCCTACTCCGATCCTACTCGAGGATCAGTATAGGATTATTATAGATAGCTCGTGAGAATAGGCTAAGCTATATAGTAGGCAACAAGTAGTAGAAGTAGTATTCAATATAGGTATATTGTACTCGAAGAGTTAAGGAGCTTAACCTAGCATACTACGAGAGGCATGCGTATACTATATACTCTGTATACGTGTGTGCCTTAGCAGCCTTAGCATATATACTCTCTTTAGCACTTGGCTACCTTACCGTTCGTAACAAGGATTAGTATAGGATCACTATAGGATCCCTTATAGGCTAATTCACGTAAAAGGATTACTTAGTAACTTAATTTAAAAAGAATAAAAAAATTAATTTTTAAATTTTTTTTAAAAAGTTTATTACGTAATATTTATAAGTTATAGATTTATATATCGAAAACACTACTATAAATACGTCGACGTCGTTATCGCCTAGAACTGTAAATAGAAAAATTCTAACGGTAGTCTTAAACTAAAAAAGAGTGCTCCTAGCGTAATTCGAACACTCTTTCTTTTTTACTATATATATGCCCGCCTAATAAGGATTAATCCTATATCGATCCTATATCGATACTATATTAACCCTACTCCGATCCTGCTCCGATCCTACTCGAGGATCACTATAGGATCACTTATAGGCTAAATAACGTATCGGAGATCACGATAGAATCACGATAGGCTCACTATAGAGATATCATAGAGATCGTATAGGCTAACTAGCGTATCGAGAATCACTATAGAATTACTTCTTAACTTAGTTTAAAAAATTAGAATAATATTTTTTTAATTTATAGGTTATAGAATTATATATCGAAAATACTACTAAAAATATAATATATAGTGTCGTAGCCGAGTAGTACCGATATCGCTATCGCCTATAATTAAAGAAAGAAAAAATTCTAACGGTAGTCTTAAAACAAAAAAGAAAAGAAAAAGTGCTCCTAGTAGGGTTCGAACACTCTTTTTTTTAGCTATTATAGTAGCCTAAGTGGACTAGGTCTAATCCTAGATCGATCCTTAATCGACCCTACTAGGATACCTTAAGAAAATCAATAGATTAAGCCTCCGATCTAGATTAGACCCGGATCGGACCCGGATCAGACCTAGTTACTATACTAGGTTCGAACTAGATCTGATCCTAGATCGATCCTAGATTAAGCCCTTATAGAAGGCTAGTATAGTATTATAGTATATAGCCTAATATATGATCTAGATCTAATCCGGATCGGATCCGGATTAAAGAAAATTAATAGATTAAGCCTCCGATCTAATTCGGATTAGGTTCAGTAACTAGGTCTAAACTAGGTCCGAACCCGGTCCGAACTAGTTCTGATCCTAGATCGAGCTAGATTAAGCCTGTACTATATAGGCCATACTAGAGTAGATTAATATAGTATTAACACCGTATCTATATTGTTTTAATATAGTATCCGATA